ATGGAATAATTCCTCTCCCTCCCTTGTATTTATCCCTCTGATATATTTAAAGAGAGCAATCATATCCCCCCTCAGCCTTCGTTTTGTCAGACTAAACAACCCGAGCTCCTCCAGTCTCCTTTCATACGACAGTCTCCTTTCATTCCTCTGATCATCCTAGTGGCCCTTCTCTGCACCCGTTCCAATTTGAGTTCATCTTTTTTAAACATGGGAGACCAGAACTGCACGCAGTACTCCAAATGAGGTCTCACCAGCGCCTTTTACAACGGAAGCAGCACCTCCTTATCCCTACTAGATATACCTCGCCTAATGCATCCCAAGACCGCATTGGCTTTTTTCACCGCCACGTCACATTGTCGACTCATAGTCACCTCCGGTCTACAAGAACCCCTAGGTCCTTCTCCTCTTCCGTTACTTCTGTTGTTAGTCATCCCTAAACGCAAACGTATATCAGAGAGAGGGCCTTGAGTAAGGGCATAGCGTTTAACAAATGTGTGTTCAGAGGACCAAGTGGCTGCTTTACAGGTATCAGCCAGGGGAACTTTGCATAAGAAAGCTACAGAGGCAGCCAGAGATCTAGTGGAGTGCGTTCTGATGCCGTCTGGAGGTGTCACCTTCTTCATCTGATAGCACAACCAGATGCACTGAGAAATCCAGTTTGAAAGTCTCTGGGTAGAAATAGGAGTACCTTTGGAATGCTCCACGATGGAGACAAAAAGTCTAGAAGAGTTTCTAAAAGGTTTTGTTCTATCCAAATAGAAGGACAAGGCCCTGCGTACATCTAATGTATGCATTGTGGCTTCGAATGAGTTCGCATGTGGTTTCGGAAAAAAGGTTGGTAGGTGTATCGGCTCATTAATGTGGAATGACGAATGCACCTTTGGAAGAAATTTGGGATGTAATCTGAGGGTAACCTTGTCTTTGAAAAATAGCGTATATGGTGGGTCTGCCATAAGAGCTGCTATTTCTCCTGTCCGTCTGGCGGAGGTAATTGCCACTAAAAATGCAGTTTTCATCGAAAGGTGTAAAAGGGAGCACGTGGCTAGGGGTTCAAATGGTTGTTGAGTTAGACAAGCTAGTACTAAATGAAGGTCCCATGGGGTGGTAGGTGGTTTAATGTCTGGGTATAGGGCTTGGAGTCCCTTGAGGAAACGCTTAGTGATTGGATGAGCAAAAACAGAAGTATCATCAATTTTGTCATGAAAAGTTGTAATAGTAGCTAAATGGACTCTGATGGAGCTGAAAGAAAGGCTGGATCGCTTAAGATCCAATAGATAGTCAAGTATGAGCGAGAGAGATACCGACGTGGGACAAGAGTAAAACGTAGGAAGCGTCTGTGGGCCGGGTGTATAGTCACATGAAAATAGGCGTCCTGTAGGTCGAGGGCTGAAAACCAATCGCCCTGCTCCAGCACTGGGATTATGGTGGTGAGAGTAACCATCTTGAACTTTTGATTTTTGACAAATTTGTTGAGCCACCTGAGGTCGAGGATTGGTCGCCATCCCCCAGTTTTCTTTTCTGTTAAGAAATAATGGGAGTAAAAACCCTTCCCTTTGTGTCGTTCTGGCACAATTTCTATTGCTCCCACTTGAAGGAGATGTTGCACTTCTTGGAGGAGTAGTCACTCGTGAGAAGGGTCCCTGAAGAGGGACAGGGAGGGTGGGTGGCAAGGAGAGGAACGGGATGACGTATCCAATTGTAACCACCTCTATAACCCACTTGTCGGAGGTAATGTTCTGCCATTGGTGGGAGAATGGTCGTAGGCAGTATCCAAAGATGTGTGTGATGGCTGAAGTGGGAACACTGTTTTCTAAACCCTCGACCAAGGCTTCAAATCTGCCTATTAGTTGGAGGGGGTTGAGGCGCCCCCGCAGAATTGGGACGACGACACTGGAATCTTGGTCTCTGGTGTTGTTGTTGTTGCTCCTGTAGTCTATGGCAGTGTTGTGTATATGCGGGGTAGCGTGGACGTTGGTAAGGTTGGTATCTATATTGCCGTCTTCTTGTCGTAGGTGTCTGGAGACCTAAGGACCGGATGGTTGCCCTTGAGTCCTTCATTGAGTGAAGCACGTTGTTCATGGTGGAAGCAAAAAGTTTTTCACCGTCAAAGGGAAGATCTTCAATGGAAAGAAAGAGGAGGAGAGCCGTGAACCTTGGCGGATGACCACTGCTGTGGCGGTCGATCTTGCTGCAGTGTTGGCTACATCGAGGGCCGCTTGAAGAGCGGTACGTGATATGATTTGTCCCTTGGAAACCAGAGATGTGAATTATTGTTTTTTCTGTTCTGGGAGGTCGTCAATAAAGTCCATGAATTTATTATAGTTTCTGTGGTCATATTTTGCAAGAACTGCAGTATAATTAGCTATATGAAATTGTAATGTCGAGGATGCATATACTTTACGACCAAAGAGGACAAGCGTTTACTTTCCTTGTTGGCTGGGGTGGAGCGGGAATACTGTTTGGCCCTTTGGTTCACTGCATCTACTACTAACGAGTTTGGCACCAGATAGGTAAAAAGGAATTCAGAGCCCTTAGAAAGGATGAAGTACTTCCGGTCCGCTTGTTTACAGGTAGGTAGGCAGGCTTGTAGCTGGAGCGTGCCAGATGGACTTAGCGGGTTCTAAAAGGGCTACGTTGATTGGTAATGCAACCTTCGGCCTGGTCTACACTACGACTTTAATTCGTATTTATCAGCTTTAATTCGAATTTACCCTGCAACC